GAGCATCACCCAATTATCAAGAACAACACATAATCATCAAGAACTCCATATAATCATCAAGAATATCATAATTATCAAGAATCTCCCAATATCAAGATTATCAAGATCCCCCATGGGATCATCACATCAATCATCATCAATAATCATCACAAGTCATTAATACCCAATAATATGGGGGAAACCCTAAGGGGAAATCATAGCTATAAAAATAGGTTTTGTTGAGACATGGGTTACCTCTTAGCCTTAATTAGTTCCTTGGCTATGAAGGGTCTTTCTTTAAGCTTTCTTGCTTTCTTCTAAGGTAATTCTTGGATCTCTCCTGGGATGGTGGGGCGTTTAGACGTGTGGGGAGTCATAGGTGCCTCTTAAGTCCCCTATTTATATATTTAGGAGTCCTAATTAGGGACTAATATTATGGGCTCGCTAATTCTATTCCTTTTGGGACTAAGGATTGGGTTTAGGGGTCGGGTTTATATATGAGGGCCCATGGACTATGGTGGGCCTTTTTTCCCTAATTAGTTATAATTTATTCTTTCTTTTGGGCTATTGATTAATTAATTAAATGGTTTTAGGGGACGTAACACGGGGTGTTACAACAATGTCAGTGCTATTAACATCTCCAAGAATCCTGTTCAACATTCCAGAACGAAGCATATTGACATCAGGCATCATTACATCACAGACCTGGTTGAATCCAAGGAAATTGAACTGGAATACATTCAGACAGACAAACAACTAGCGGACATTTTGACTAAGCCATTGGATGCTAATCGTTTTGAAATTCTCAGATCTGCTCTGGGAATTTGCAGAATTGATTGAGTAAAGCAGTTGGTCTGTCAGAGAGGAGTTGGTGTATACGGGTCAGTGTTATGATTTGACTTTCCTTAAAGACTCCTCTCTATTTATGTTAAGAAGATTATTTAACCTTATGCTTCTCAGAGATATCTTAAAAGATCTTAATTTCTTTTTGAATTTCAAATTTCCTTGGGTTCCGTTTCCTTCCTAAAAAGGAGCTGTACCATTGTGTCAATCAATCGCATCTGCATGATATTTGACAAGCCGCATTAATTAGGGTTCATCACCCTTAAGCCTATTTGATACCGGGTCAAGAAGAAAAACACATCTTCGATCACCACAGCTCTCAACTTACTATCTCTCTTGCATATCTGCCTTCAGTGATCTTCTCTTCTCTTCGCACTTAATCTTCAATGGCGGACCCTGTAAGAAACATCATTATCAAACTTGGAAGCAAGACACACTCTCCGGAGGTGGCCCTTAAGCACATTCAGACGCTGCTGCAGTTTGCTATGAAGAAAAAGCTCAAACTTGATCCTCTGCTTCGTGACGAGATTCTGGTAACTGTTATGTCCAACTATCCAGAGTTTTATGCAGAATGGTCTGAAGATGATGCGACTGAACTGCTTGTGATGGTTTCTGAAGCCAGTGATGAAGTTTCTCTAGTATATATTCCAGAACACTTGGATGGAAATCGGGCCGGGGCATTCCTTCTCGACGGCAAGCGGAGGCGCACCCTCTGTATCTCGAAGCTGCTCAGAAAGAGGCAAAACACAGACAGGAGATCCTCCGAAACAGGTCAAACAATTCTGAAACTCCTATTGAAATCTCACCAGATAAACCTGATGTTTCTGCTACCCCATCTTGTGTGCCTGTTATTTCTAAAAATTTAACTGCTTTGGATTTCGAGAATCCCCCTGTGAATGTTGATTCTACATCTCTGCCTGTGAGTGAGTCTGTTGGTGTGAAAACTGATGTCTTGCATGTGTCTGATGAGAAAGAAAAGTCCTCTGATGAGCCAAATAAATTGAGTTTAGTTGTTTATGCTTCTGATAATGTTGCTCTGCCTCGGATTGAGATTGTTGATGACTCTAAAGAAACTTGCTCTGCTGTTGATACTCCTGTCTTACCTGTTACTGTTGAAACTGTTGATTTATCAAGCCCCCACAAGTATGAGAAAACAGGTGGAATTCCAGTTTACACTGCAACATCTTTAGGAGAGATTCTGGACCATGAGCGACACTTTGCTGGGCTACCATCTGCTTCAATCCCTCAACCATATCGAGTGATTCATCATTCCGAATCCTCCAGCGAAGATGATAAATTACTGGCTGAAGTGTATGGATCTCAAGCACTTCCATCTGATGTTCCAACTGTTGAGGCAACTGCTCATCCTGATTCCACGAAGGTTGTTGTTGAGACCGGTGATGATAATGCTGATGTGGATCAGCCTGAGAAGAAGAGAAAATCGAGTGAGACTGTTAAGCCTGAAGGAAACCCGCCTATTCAACAAGTGTTCAAGAGTCTGCGATCGTCTGTTAAGCAAAAAGGATCTGCTGCTGTTCAAGCTACCTCTGTACCAGCCCCTTATGTCAGAAAAGGGAAGCCATCCACACGATCAAGAGGTCGAAGTATCACCCCTGAGGTCCCACCTGTTGAAGAAACTGACCCATCTGTTTACCGGCCTCAGTTTGTATCTCCTGCTGCACAGACCAAATGGGCCACTATGGTTAGAAGAGATCTTATTGTTCAAAGATCAGTGGACGAGAACCAGCTGAACTCCGTTTGTGACATTCTGCCCTTGCTGAATGAAGTCGGACTATTGAAAACTGTCACGGACATCTGCCCTTACTCTAAGCTGCTCACATATGAATTCTATTGCAATCTCAGTGATGAGATTGACATTCTCACAGGGCCACGGCCGATGCAGATCTTTATCAGAGGAAGGTGGTATGTTTTTGGGCCGGATATGATAAATGAATACTATGGCTTGCCAGCTGTTCAAGAAGAAGCTGTTACTGACTGGGACTTAGTTGCCAGAACTCTGACTGGTGGGCAGACAGAATCATGGCCTACGGGTGACAAGGACTATCTCCAAAGCTCTCATCTCACGTCAAGATATGTGATTTTACACCGCCTAGCTCTTCACAACTGGCTCCCATCAGCCCATTTCCACACCGTTGGCAAGCTTCTGGCTGGGTTCTTATTTCGAATTGGAATAAAGATGCAACTTGATCTGGGCAAATGGATTTACTATCACATCCTCACCCTGATTCATCCACGCGAACAGAAGGTAAGACTACCCTTTCCAAATCTGATATATGGCATCCTTACCACTCAGGGCCTTGAGCCTATGCCCAGTGAAGTGATCAGTCCAACGCTGCTCTATACTGTTGATAAACATCTTCTGTCTGGAGATCACATTCGGGATGTTGTTCCTGTGACTGCCCCATCCAATTCTGAACCTGATGCTGTGCCTGATGACTCTCCTCATGCTAAGGATGTTCAGCTTTCCATACAGTTGAAGGCAAGAGTTGCTGATCTTGAGATGGTGCACAGCATTATTGCAAAGCAACTGACAGGGGTCCGTACTGAACTGGCTACTGTTATTCTTCGTTTGAGCATGACTGAAGCTGATGCTGCTGCTGATCCTGTGAAGTCTGACAGTGATTCTCACTCCAATGCTTGATCTTTGGCTACCATTGGCAAAAAGGGGGAGTAGTATGAACTCAGGGGGAGTTTTTTTGTTTGAGTACCTTCTGGCCCTGGCTGGGCGTTATGTTTTTTATCCTAAACTGTTTTGGATCCTATGTTTCTGTTTTTATTCTATGTAATCAGTTCGGACATATGGGTTGCTTCTTTATAATAACATATCTTAGCTCTTTGAGTTTATAGTCGAGTTGTTTTGCCAAATAATAGCCAAAGGGGGAGTTTGTTAGTGTTTTTAAATGTTCAAAAACCCCATATTATAATTGGCAATATTATTATGGCATACTAAGATAGGTTTAGAGTCTGTCCGTTTAGCTCTACAGATAACTGATCAATCAGAAACAACAACAGAAGGACTGACACTGAAGATCTGATTTAGGAAGTTGATTTCTTAAAAGGCTTACGCGGTATTATCAGACTCATATGGAAAGATGATCAGCGTATTTTTTCAAGAAAGGTATGGACCTAATCTTCTGAGATTACATTCCTCTTTTATAGTCCTACCTTTTACAATCAAAGACATCTATGGAGAGTGGTTATTGAAGGATCTATAAGTACCCTTATTCGAAGAGAATTAGGGTTACGCCGAAATTAAGAAGAAACACTTCATATCTGCTATATGAGACTAGGTCTTTGATTGTCATGTATCTTCTCAATACAATATGTTCACGGTGATTAAGATGATGAACTTGAGGAGAGTTACTGCTGCTTAAACGAAAGGACACTGTGATCACAATGTTGTGGGAACAACTTTATAGAGCATCATTGAAGTGGACTGCATCAGAGTGGGCTCTCCAAGTGAAGGGATTTCATTGGACTTCTGTATGCATGGCTCTCCATCTTCAACAATCCACTAGACCTGTGTAGACTAGGTTTGAACCTTGTGTGGGCACTTGGGTAAGATTATTGTATATCTACCTTTGTACATTGGTTTATGATTTAGTGGATTGGACGCCTATGTGATCGTCCCCCAGACGTAGATACACACCGTATCGAACTGGGTAAACATTCTGTGTCTTTGGCTTTTGTGCGGTTATCTTTCTCTTATACTCTCTTCATGATTTATCATTACTGATTGGTCTCTTATATGAATCAATCAGTAATCTACATCAGTCATCTAATTCTGTTAATTTACTTAAAATGAGGAATTGCAAAATTACACTCTCAAATGGATATTAGAGAAATAGTTAGAGACTTTTGTAATCTCAGCTTTTTGTTTGTTAAACTGTCCGCGAATAGCTAGGGTCGCCCACTTGCTAGCTCGGGAGGACTTATCTAAGTCTGAGTGTTCGAATTGTTTCTTGGTCCCTTTTTACTCTATTGCTCATGTACTAGAGCTTGACTCTCTTTAATCTAATATATTTCGTTTTCTTCAAAAAAAAAAAAAAAACAAAAGCAAATAGAGGGACATTGTTGGAGTTTGTAAACATGTCAACACCCAACACAACCATTGCTTAGATTTCTAACTTGCACCAAGGAGATTCACAATACTAAGTTTATGAAAGGCTAAAACCATGGGTATCCAACCAGTCCTCACGCATAGTTTCACGGCATAACTTCCAACCACATTCCAATTAGAGTTGACATAATTGTTAAACATATACTACAAATATGTTAAAATCTATTAACAAATACAATATAAAATCTAATATAAACTTTGATCAAATAATTGGCCCGATTAAATACATAGCATTAAAAGTTTGGCATCAAAAATTATAAATCAAGAACCTTGAAAATCACTTTCTTGCATTTTTTAAAAAACAAATTTAGGCTAATTTTTTTTAATCGTTTAATTAATCTTCTTTTGATTATTTAGAACAAGACACAATATTTCAATTACGTTTTTGCATTATTGGAATGATTTAGGTCATTATAATATTAATATTTTTTTGTGTGTACCTCTATAATGGTACAATTGTATATTACTTTACAAATATTGTACTATTATTCTTTTATCGGACAAAAGTGTTCTTACATCATTGTCAGACATGTGAAACCTAACTACAAAGTTTTTGATCAGAAATACAACTACGCCTTGACTTTAAAACGGTAGGACCGTTTTCAAAAGAATTGACAATGTTGACAACTGTTAACGTTTTATTTCTTTAAAAAAAAAAAAAGAAGACCCCAACATATAATTGGCAATATTATTATGGAAAATTAAGATAGGGTTTAGCTTGGTGTCTGTTTGTTCTTATAGACGATTGACCGATCAGTATAATCAACAGACGCACTACCAATGAAGATCTGATAAAGGAAGATGTTTCCAAAATGCTGAACGCGGTTTGTGATGACAGTTTTGGAAAGAATATTAGCGGATCAGCCTCGAAGGTATGGACCGAATCTTAAAGATTTCATTCTTCACAAAAAGTCTTACCATATACAATCAAAGATATTTTTGGAGAGTGTTCTTACCAAGGAAGTATATATATCATCATTCGATCAAGAATTAGGGTTGCGTTGATTGAAGCCAAAAAACACTCGATGCTAAATAGAAACACACATCTCTGATTGTCATGCCTCTTCTCAAGACAATAAGTTCTTGGTGATTATGATGAAGAACTTGAGAAGAATCAACGTTGCTTAAACGAAAGGACGCGAAGATCACTCAGTTGTGGGAACAACGTGGGACTGTGTCATTGAAGAGGACTGCATTAGAGTTAGCTCTCCAATTGAATGGATTTCATTGGACTTCTGCATCCGTGGCTCTCCGACTTCAACAATCCACTAAACCTTTGTAGACTGGGTACTGACCTTGTGTGGGGCACTTGGGTGAGATTGCTATTTCTCTACCTTTGTACATTGGATTATGATTTAGTGGATTGGACGCCTCGATGATCATCCCCCAGATGTAGATACACATTGTATCGAACTGGGTAAACATCATATGTGTTGATTTATTTTCTGCTTTAGTCTTCCGCTTTAAACTAATCTGCTTTCTAACTGGATGACTGATAAATTAAGTCTCTCAGTTAGTCAGTCCAGTATTTCAGTTGATAAAAACTATCGATAGTCTTATACTGAGGATATGCAAAATTACATGTGGTATCAGAGCTTTTAAGTCTACATAGTGACTTGATCCGTACGGGAAGAACTTTTTGCATTGTTCTCTTTTTAAGAAGCTGTTTACTTGGTTGTCTATTGGCTGTTAGATTGCTCTCTGCGTGTGTGTTCTGGCTGGTTGTTTGTTTTGATTCAAGATGGATGCAAGTATGAAACCACCAAAATTGGATGGTCACAATTATTCATTCTGGAATGCTCGAATGGAGATTTACCTTCAAGCACAAGGCACTAGAGTTTATCGTACTGTCCTCACTGGATGGAGTCCTCCGACAGTTCAGAATGCTGATGGATCTGCTGAGGTCAAACAAATGGAGACATGGATTGAAGATGAGATGTCGTCCTCTGATCTGAATAATAAAGCACTGAATTCTATTGTAGGATCTCTACATGAATCAGTCTTTACCTTGGTCACAGGGATAAAAGAGGCAAAACGTGTATGGGAAATTCTTGAAACTAGATTTGATGGTACCAGTGATGTCAAGTAGTTAAAGCTTCAGATGGTTCTATCAGAGTTCGAAGCCCTCATGATGAGTGAAGAAGAAACTATCTCTAACTTCCATAGTCGTGTTCAGAATTTGATGAACAGAGCTTCAGTACTTGGTGAACCATTTACTGATGAAAGAGTTGTCAAGAAGATCCTTCGCTCTCTGCCCAAGCGATTCCGAATAAAAGTGATTGCAATTCAGGAAAACACAGGTTGGGAGAAGAAGAGTGTGGGAGAGCTTATGGGTAATCTACATACTTATGAACTTCAAGTGCTGGCTGATGATGATTTTGCAGTCAGCAGAAAAGGCAAGTCAGTGGCTTTTGTTGCTGAAGCTGATCGAGAATCTGACACAGATGATGTAACACCCCCTAAAAACAAGCTATTTAAAAGCCTTAAACATGTAGATAACACAACTAAACAACAAACACAGCGGAAGACTAAAAGATAACTGGATAAATATAAATCCAAGTCATAGGGTGTTATGCCACGTTCACCAACAAGGATGAACGCTACGGCGATATCTGCATTGTTTACAACTATCCAAAGTCTCAAAAGTCTACAACTAGAGCGGCTCACAGGCCATAAAACAAACGGGAGAAGCTATGCTAACAGGCACTAGACTGTGCACTCGCCTAGACATCACCTGAAAGAACACAATAAAACATGGGACGACGCCCGGTCAGCGAATAAAGCTGGTAACCCACCAATACATGTGAAATATCATACATAGATAAGATATAAGTTGTAAAGCCATTTTTGAAACGGAATACATAAGTATATAAGTATAAAACCAAGAGCAATAGTCAACGCAAGACTCAACACTCTCTCGATCAAGGATACGGGAACACATCCCAAACCACAAAGGAAAACCACAACACAAAGGAAAAAGACAAGACCAATGGCAACACATGCCCTTGTGACTACACACGTCACAAGAAAGAGAACTCATAACCACGGCTACACAAGCCCTCGTGACATCACCCATCACGAGTTGATATGCCTTCCTTATGCCCGGTTCCAACCTTATGGCTACCCCCAACGTTGTATCTTCTTTCAACCATTACCTCTAGGACCCCTGTACTTCTTAGTCCAACCTTTTCCCTCCTAGGACCGTCGTCCCCCACCAACAAACCACCAACCACCAATTTCATAGTACACGAGGGTACCGTACACACACACGGCAACACATGCCACCCAAGAATCACGTGAACCTTACACAAAGGCCACAACTCCATAATCACGTCACGGCCACCATGAGGACCGCTGCAATACCTTGGTGACTAGTGTCCCATACCACTAATCGTGCACTCCAGGTAAAGCCACACACACGTCACACCACAACAGGAATCAATCAACGGATCACAACGAAGATATGAAACACTCAATCAAGGAATGGGTCACAGACCAACAACAACAACGATGAATAACACAAGTTGTCATCAACCAATAGGAAGGTACAAACAACACACACGCTAGCATTTAAACACCGAACTAGCATGCTTATCAAACTGGTAAACCAAACGTAGTTCCGAAGAACACACAAGACTCATCACGGTTCAACGAAACACAATGTTGTACACTTAGCACGATTCACGACACCAAAACCTACATGGAATCCTACCATATAGTTCTAGACATACAAAACATCAAGAAGACACTCAAATAGTTCCATAAAAGAACATCGGGAAGTCAAAAGATCAAATACCGAGTCAAAAGAATCACGGGGAACAAATCCCCCAACATCCAACATTGTGTACCCGCGGGTACAGGCTTCTTTACCACACGTACCCCGCGGGTGGGCGGTGGGTGGGCCTCTTACCCGTCGTTCCGCCCGCGGGTACAACCTGTACCACAAAACAACACTTCGCGGATTTTTCATCTCCAACTCAAATTCAAGCCCAAAACATGCCAAATCTCACCAAATACAACAAAATGACTTGAATCAAAAGAAATGCCAAGCAATGGCACAAATGAATCCTAAACACAAACTCTAGATATGCATTTTCACAAGATCATGCATCAACACTCACATTTCATAGCAAAACACATGTAGAATCTAAGAAATCACATATAGGTAAGCAAAATAGGTTTTGTAGAGCATGGGTTACCTCTTGTAGACTAAAGACTTCACTTTACACCTCAACAAGCTCCTCACTAGGCTCACTTTCCAAACCCACTTCAAGAACAAACCAAAAGATCATAAAGATCCTATCTTTAAGAAAAGACACCTTAGATAAAACCAAAAACACAAGATGAACTTAGATCTTACCCTCCTAGATGCCCAAATATAAGAAAGGTTGAATCTTGGAAGAAAATCTTGAAGTTTTGGCAAGGTTCCAACTTTGCTTGGAAGAAAAGCTACTCACCTTTTAGAGAGAGGGTGGAGCTAGATTTTTAGAAAAGTGTAAGGAGAGAATGAAAGTGGTCTTACAAGGTTAGGTTACATTGCCAACAACAAGTGAAAGGTCAAGAATACCCTTACTAACATAAGGAAGTGTAAGGAACAAAGGAACTCATTACAAAGCTCAAGGTACAACTTTGACTTTGGGGTTGACTAGTCAATTACTAGTCCCCAACTATTAAATTTCAGGAATTTAAGGAATTAAATTACAAATTGAAATAGGATTAATTACTCAATTAATCCCTTAATTGGATTTGGATTTTGGGGTGTCACATCCTCTCCCCCTTCAAAGAAGCTTCGTCCCCGAAGCTTGGGTACGACGAATTAAAAGCAAACGGTGAAAAGAAACAACATTGTGACAAGAGGTTTAAGAACAATCTCTTTTGGTCAAAGACTCCAAAAGAATTCACAAGAATTTCAAAGCAAGAAAGAAGGTATTTCAATTCAAGGATTGGCAAGAGTTTAACAAACGGATAGATTGAGCATCAAGAACTCTAGCCTCAACACAACCACCGACTTCTAGACAACAACCAAGCACTAGACAACTAACTCCAAACACCAACTACTAAGCTAGCTAAACAACAAGGCAAC